ATATCCACATTAGTCATGTCTGAAAGTAGCTTCGTGAAGTTGTTAACATGCTCCCTGATGGAAACTCCTCTCTTCATCTTGAACTGGTAAAACCTCTTCTTCAAGTGAAGCCGATTCTCAGTGCTCTTAGTAAGATACTTTTCATTGAGTGTTTCCCACATCTTCTTCGCCGACGTCTCGTTCATCCAATCATAAATAAGATATGGCGTCAAGCATGACCGAATAACTCCACACGCCCTACTATTCATCTTCTTCCAAACCTTAGCTTCCATCTCGGCAGGTTTCTCTTGTAACTCAAGAGTCTCCTCCAAATTCTAAGCGTCCAACGCATCCATCACCTGGCACCTCCACAAACCGAAATTGATGTTACCATCAAACTTCGGAACATCGATCTTCATGTTATTGATGCTCAAACTATGTATCGTCTTCGTAAGAGACGATCCCGATGTGCTTGCTTCACCCATGTTGTCGATCTAACTCTTCAAATAGGAATCCTTCAGCGAATCCTTCAAACAAGCCTCAAGTTGAACCCGAAGCTCTGATACCAATTGTCGTGCGCGGTGCGGAAGCGGTCGAATCACACAATCCAAACAAGAGAGATCACAACCAAATAAACAAGCACAATCACCAATTAACACAAGAGATTTACGTGAATCGGCAAGTTGCCTACGTCCACGGGGCAAGAAGGGGATTGGGTTTTCACTAATAGAGAAAGAGTACAAACTGAGATTACAAATCACTCGAAGGAACAAACTAATCTCACCAACAAGCTCTTAATCTCTTCAAACAAAACCCTAAACAAATAGCTCAGAAAATACCTCTTTTCTGTGCTCCAAATATCCCCAATTTTTCTTCTCTTCAATTCTCTCTTCTAATTGTTCCATATATATATAAATCCTAAAATCATAAATATACTAGGAATTCTAAACCAAAACCAAATCAAATTAGGAATCCTAATAACCTATTACCAAAATAGATTAGGAATCCTAATAACCTCATGTTACCAAAATAGACTAGGAATCCTAATAACCTCATGTTACCAAAATAGACTAGGAATCCTAATAACCTCATGTTACCAAAATAGATTAGGAATTCTCTATCCAATAACTATTACATTTAAACCCACTCCCAAATGCAATTTGCCAAACTCTACCCCCTCTCTTCATTCTCCCTTTTTTCTCAATGTAATTCAACTCGTACCAAAGCGAGCTACTGCTCGTGTTCCCAAATCGATGCAGCGACATCCTCGACGCCTCCATGTGCTCCACCGACAGCTGCAGATTCTTCTGCAGCTCGTCGATCACCGCCCGACGCCTCCATGTGCTCCACCGACAGCTACAGATTCTTCTGCAGCTCGTCGATCACCGCCCGAACTCCAGCGAGGACGCAGAAATGCTCAAATGCCTGCTTGAAATCAAGGATATATGGTTTCCATTTAGGATTTATTAGCTTTCTCCCGATCAAACTGAACAAAAATAGGAGCTGCTCTGAAGCTGGGAGAACGAGCGGGCCCATCATCGTTATGTTCACTTTGAGAGCATCTCCGGCGATTGCCGTCGCTCGCCGCTCGCTGTCGCTCCCCGCTCGACTCTGCTTGTTCACCATCACTCGTCGTCACTGGCATCGCTCGTCATCGCTCGCCTCCCCGTTCGCCACCATAGAATCAAGCTTAGGGTTTCTAAAAGAGTCAGTCGAGCTGCTGGTTCTTAACTTCTTATTTGGGTTAGTGTGTTATACGAGTCAGTCAGGTCAACCCAAACTGACCCGTTTACTAAATGGGTAAATTTGGATTGACTCGTTTATGACCCGACCCATATAACTCAACTCATATCCATTATAAACGGGTCGGATCGGGTTGATGGGTCGGGTCATAAATTGCCACCCCTAAATTCTCAAGGTCATCTGTGTGGATACGCATACTTCAAGATCACCCATGTAATTACATCATACCTTAGGGTGTCGGAATGTAATTAATCCTTAAATTTAAGGTGTTAGGTTGGATATTCACACGAATGACAATTACCCATATCCAAGATAAATTACATCCTCAGCTAGACTTTGCTAATTTAGACCAGTTGTTAGTTTCGTCAATGCATTTGCTTGTTATATAGACTTTAAATATGATATCGTTAGTTTCATCGATTTATTTGTTTGTATCTAGACTTTAATACGAATATAAATTCATATCCCTGGATAAAAGCAACGCAGAAGAGGCAAAAGTCTGAATGCATAATTAAAAAGTTTAAATAGGAGGATATATTCAATCTAACGTCTCTATCCATTTTTATAATTTGTTGCTCGTCACTCTCCTACATGCCATGTACTTCTCAAACTATAGCCGGGGCCTTTATTGCCTTTCCCTGAAAAAAGAACGTAATCCAAGAATTATCAATACTCTAATTGTATATCGTAGAGGGTATTCTAGTATGTCATGTGTGTTTAATTTGTTTATATAAGTACAAAAAATCCAAGCTTATATGTTAGGTAATTGTAGATAAACCCCATGTAGTATCGTTGTTCAATTTACTACCCTTCTAGTTTTATTGTTGCAGATAGACCCACTAATTGAATTTCTTTTTAGTTTTTTGTCCTCAATGTTTCTATTTGTTGACAACCTTTTTTTTTTCCCTTTAAGGGCAAAAGAGTAAAAGAAATTCACTCAGGGGCAAGGGTCCATCTGCAACAATAAAGCTTAAACGGTAGAGTAACGATATTATGGGTCTATCTACAATTACCACAATATGTTTACCCAAAAGGTATCATGATTCAGTTTTCAGAATATGCAAATATAATATGATTTCAAAATGCTGAACCAAAAAAAGGAAATAGAAAAATAAGAGAAAGAGAAGACTCGTTTACATGAAACTTTGACTAGCTTTATTTCTAACGCAAATTAACAAAAATTTGAAAGAGACAGCAAGAACCAGCAGTGGTGATAATTCTTACAATGTATCAAGAAATTGCCGATCTGGCCCCAGAATTCTCAGCATAAACAAGGAAATATACTTGCTAGCTTTCAGAGGATATGTACATCAGAAGATGCCTGCGACACGTTTAATACTACCTGAAAGACAAAGGCAATGTAAGTTACTCTTTTGTTTGCAATTTTTTTTTGAAAAAGTGACAATTTACCTATGGAGAATTTTTTTTTTTAAATACACTTTTTAAAACTTTATTAGCAAAATCAACCTGTTTTTTATATAATTAGCAAAATCAACCTATTTTTTATATAATTAACAAAATCAACATTTAAGCCATGATATGATCCAAATCTGAAAAAGCTTAAAAGATAAAAGTTATAGATCTCTTCGTTAGCTTTCCAACGCATCTTGGATCACCTTATTCCGATATCGAATGAAGAAGTTATAGCCAAATACCCGGGAGGTACGCGGCAATGGTAACTGCCGCAGCAATGCGCGTCACCGCCCACTGCCGCGCCCACTGAGAAGCTGAAAACGTTATTTTTGACAGTTTTCTCGAGTTTTGTGAGGCTCACATGGTTTATTAACTGTTGAGGGTTACTTATGAACGTGAGGGAAGCAGTTACGAGCGAAAATCATGCCCACTACCCATGAAAATCGTGACATTTAAGGAGTTAAAAGTCGTGGGATGGCGGTTACAAAAAACGGAATAGTAACCGCTCCTTTAGCCACGTCACCCCCGGCTGCCGCGCCAAAGATTTTTCTTCAGCCGTGCCACCTATGACTGCCGCGCCAAAGGCACTTCTTCAACTGCGTCACCTCTGACTGACGCGCCCAAAGGGAATATAGCTGGTTGGTTATTTCACCCCCATTTCAGCAATTATGCACCTTTATCGCTATAAATACCTCCATATACACTGAAAAAAGAGAGGACGGATCCAAGGCAATTAGAGCATAACGGCTTGAGCTTTTGGCGATCTTGAGCAAGAGTGAGTCTTCATCTTTCAAAAACACTTTTAAGAAGCTTTTGGTGATTCCTAAAGATCTAAGCTCTGACTTGATCTTTAGAAGAGTGAACATCTTACATCGATAAGATATTCGCTTAAAGATTCTTACTTCGATAAACGAAGAAGAATATCCAAAAGCCTTCACGATTCAATCAGAATCTGTGAATCAGTGGTCCACGGGCTAACGCACCCCCGACACAGGCAAAGATCCCGCGCAAGCAGCGATCCAAACAACGATCCTGCGTTTGTTTCTAAGGAGCTTGTAATTTAATTTTTGTTGTAAAGAGTAGTTTTACAAAGTACGAAGCTCACTCTTTTGTATTCATTGTAATCGATAAACAGTTATAATGAATTCTACAACAAAACTTGTTCCTGGCGCAAACACACCCTAATGAAGTTTAATTGGTCTCTGTATTTTTTAAAGTTTAATTAGCATGTGATTAGCCAACACTAATTACACAGGACTACTAGTCCCATGTATTTTAAAAACTATGTTTTGCAAAATCCGCAAAAGAGGTCGATTTTGCTAATTAAATCCATAAAAGGTTGATTTGCTAATAAAGTTTCAAAAACGGTCTTTTTTTTATTTTGTTTACGTATTGGTAACAATAGACAAGCGCTAACAATGATTACAATTGGTTAGCGATCTTAAATATATACTTTTCACATTTTTGTAAGCTTATATAGATTACATTAAGTATGTTTAAATTATATTTTAGGACAGTATATCGGAGGTTTTTTTTTAAAATAGACCACTTCTGCTAAATATTTAGCAAAACCGATCTCTTTTTGGCCAGCTCATCAAAGCAGGCCAAAAAGAGGTCGGTTTTGCTGAATCTGGTCTTTGATACACACGTGACTAGTAGTCTCGTGTGTTTATTGGTTGCTAATCGCCCATTAAACAAAACTCACAAAACCTACGGGACTAATAGTCCCGTGAGTTTTCTGAAAAGTTTTCAGAAAACGTACGAGACTAGTAGTCTCGTGCATTAGACAGAGACTTTGTCTCTACTGTACAGCAAATCCACGGGACTTGTAGTCCCGTAGATTTGCGGGGCAAACCAAAACATGCACAAAACATACACATATCATACTTGCATGAATATATACCTCATATACATTGCTAAACATGCACAAAAAAATATAAAATACGCCTCATATACATTGCTAAACAGTATAATCAATGGACTATGGGGGAAGGAGAGATTGAGGGAGAGGGGTTGGGAGAGAGAGGTTGAGGGAGACAGATTGTGAGAGGGTTTACCAAATTCCGGAGAGGGATTGAGAGAGGGGTTATCAAATTCGGGAGAGGGATTGGGAGAGAGGTTGAGAGAAAGTGAGGACGGATGTGCCCTAATTTTTGGGCATAGCTGGGGCTCATATAGGCCTGACAAATCCACAGGACTATTAGTCCCGTGGATTTGCTAGGCGGCACAGACGAAGCCTCTGTCTAACGCACGGGACTACTAGTCTCGTACACTTTTTAAAAAATATTCAAAAAACCCACTGGACTAGTAATTCCATGGGTTTTCTGAGTTTCGTTTAGTGGGCGATTAGCGGCTACTAAACACACGGGACTAGTAGTCTTGTGTGTTTCAAAAACCAGATTCAGCAAAACCAACCTCTTTTTTGCTAGCTTTGATGAGCTGGCAAAAAAGATGTCGGTTTTGCTAAATATTTAGCAAAACGGTCGGTTTTGCTAAATTTTGCTAAATATGTAGCAAAAGTGGCCTATTTTAAAAAAATCTCCTAGTATATTATATACGCACATCATCCGATATAGCACTACGATATTGACTACATAGCCCTGATATTTCCCATCATCTGCAATTCGTTATAGATTTTGGTCATCCAATATTTCCCTTATATACAATATTTAAAACCTTGCAGACTAGTATTGATAACCATACTACAAAGTTTATACTACCACAAACAAAAGAGCATGGTAAAAAAATTTCTTGACCATTTTCAAGAAAGGGACCCCACAATATTTGTGAGTGGTAGTACAAAAGTAGTATAGAATTTATAGTACAATTATTATTTTCTGCTTAAAAATTTTCCAAGGTGGTATACAATTACCATTGATCATGTCCCACACGAATTAGAACATAAATGAAAACTTATACACAAATAAAGCTCATTCAGTGTGGATATTACTGAACCATAAACAGATCTTATTACATATGTTGCGTGTATGTTAGATAGTGAAGCTTTCAGTTTGTTTTAAATTAAGTAAAATAATGGTCAAATAAATTGCTTCCTCTATAGGAAGGAATATCAACAAACATGTAAATTGAGTTATTACACAGGAGAGCTTGATGCAAAACAAACATTGCTGCTGTTAAGCATGTATCAACAATAAACTTATATATTATTAATACAAAATCATGCACCTTGTAATCATGGAGTTAGCACAACAAGGGAGAACAACTTACCATAATGTCCACAAAACTTTTGCTTGCTTCCTCCTACCAATAATCATTACAAGAGCAAACTCCATTCTCAAAATGGTGAAACCTCTTGATATCCCGTGCAATTATCAAACGTCCAACTATCTTCGATATTATCTTCAGAGCATTATGACAATCCCTACAAACACGAAGATTTTTTATAATCCTAAGAGGCATTCGAGCACGAGTAGTCATGAGACCATGAACAGTGGCCAGCCTTTCGCTGTGGTAAAGTAAAGCTTCCTCCCTACTTTCTATATCAACATCATGAAGTGAACAAGTCTTATCTGGAGTATAGCCAACCTCTTTCATATGTTGAGCCAAACACCTCAAGTGTTGATAAATGATATCATTATCTGGATGTGATCGATCCCCTGCCATAAACTCTCGTACTTGATGCTTAAAATCTGGAACATTAGAATCCTTTTTGCTTTCAATCCCCTTCACTGTTTCTGATGATTCTATATTCAATAAAGCCATGTTGGATTTATTTACCCTAGAGGAATCAAGTTGTTCCACAATCTCAGCACATCGATCCCCAAGCTCAGTATACCCATTAACTCTACAAAATTTTAACAGGGCTTCCCAAACATCGACATTGGGCTCAATAGGCATCATCTCTATAAACTCCAAAGCTTCATCCAAATAGCCACTTCTTCCAAGCATTTCTATTATGCCAACATAATCTTCCATTTTAGGGGTAACGCCAAAATCCACCTTCATTGATTCGAAGTATAACATACCCTGATCAATTGCTCCAAGAACACCACAAGTATACAAAATAGCATTAAATAAATCTCCATTTGGCTCCAACCCCATCTTTTTCATCTGAGTAAACAGATCGATTGCTTCCTCAGCAAGGCCATTACTGGTGAAACCCCTTATCATAATTTCCCAGGATGTCAAATGCTTCAGAGGCATTTTCTCAAATGATTGGCGAGCATCATTAGTTGACCCACACTTAAAGTACATATCTAATATCTTATTATGAATCTCAATGTCTACTTTACCTAGTGTCCTTGAGAGATGATCATGGACTCGCCTTGCACTTTCTAAAGATTTTGCATCTCCACATGACTCCATTAACTTTATATATCTTAATCCATCAACAGCCATGCCAGTTTTCTCAAATACAGAAAGAAAGCCGACAGCTTCCTTCACCTTCCCCTGCTCGCAGAGCTCCCCCAGCTTGTACAGTGCACTTGCATGAGTCATCAATGGATTGGTAACCATTTCACCGGTATCTCGATGGACTTCGCTATTGTGTCCTTCATGTAAATCATAATTGGATATTACACTGCTAATCGGAGGAGAATGCCTTAAACTCTGCAGCCTATTTTGATAAAACCCTCTCGGATTAACACAATAATCATCATCGACAGGGTCTTCATGGACCTTTCTTGGGTTTTCTCGAAAGAACCCAGTTTGATTCTCGTAAGGATATCCATCATCCAACACATTGTCACTCTGCTGAAAACCTTCAGCAGAGTTCCTTATATGATTCTTGTTGAGACTCACATTGGTTTGCCCTACATCTTCAATCCTTTCCCTATAAAATCCATTTATTCCCATACTCCGCCCATTATCCATCTGATTGCAAGAAACATTTGTGTGTTCCTCATAAAACCCATTAGAATTCCACCGCTGAGACTCTCCAAGATCGGATCTTTGACCCCAATTTTCCCTATAAAACCCATTTGGATTCTGCTGTGGGTTTAACGGATTCTGCTGATAAGAGCCGTTGGGATCCGATTCCGGTGACAAATCGGACCTTTGGGTGGCGACGCTGAAGCTCCGCCGCCGCCAGAGGTGGATCAAAGGTGAGGGTTTTACTGAATTGAAGAGAGAATTTTGTGAAGAATCGGGAGAGATAGTTACCTGAGAGAGGGATTTGATGGTGAGAATCGATGATCGCTTTCGGTACATTTGACGACTGCACTGCTAAAACCCTAGTTTTTAGGGGATGAATAAACGCCGGGAGCTCTGGTGTTTGGAGGATGCAAACGGATTGTGGGCTTGAATTTGAGTTTTATTTTTAATCTATTAAGCCCTTAAATTTACCAAACGTTTCTGTCAAGCCCTCAACCTCTTATTTAGATCTATTGATATTTTTACTTTCATTCTATTTAACCCCTGAAGTCTTAAATTTCATGATATTTAGCCCCGTGGTCTTCTCAAACCTCAAACACAACCTAAATACATGTTTCAACTAGGATATAATTGGAATATCGTAAAAAAAATGATATGACATAGTATTACAATTTGAGTTTTGATCTGGCGTCCGCTATGTGTTCAAAGTTTAAATTTTGGGAAAAATGCTTCCAGCCCCCAAAAGCCAAGTGAACATGCTTCCCACCCCCAGGACTTGGTCAATGGGTGTTTTACCCCTAAAAATAAAGAATCTGTTCTCTGAGCCCCCAAAACACAAAACCCAAGACATTAAAACATGTGAAGACCATAATACCCTTCTCTCTCTCTTTCTTTTTTTATTAAAATATGATGGGGATTATTTTATTATTTTTGTTTTCTCTCTCTCTTTATCATGATGTACCAAGAGGATAGTTGAAATGATTGTGATGATTATTTTATTATTTTTATTTTTTATTATTTTGGTTGTTTGTATTGGGAGGTTGTTAAAGTTACGGGTTGATTGTTAAGGTTACGGGTTGGTTGTTAAGGTTAAGGGTTTGTTGTTAAGGTTGTAGATTTATTGTGTAGGTTACGGATTTGTTGTTAAGGTTACGAGTTTAATTGTTAAGGTTACGGGTTTAATTGTTAAGGTTACGGGTTTAATTGTTAGGGTTACCTATCTAAAGATCCTCTTGGTACATCATGATAAAGAGAGAGAGAGAGAGAGAGAGAGAAATAATAAAATAATCATCATCATATTTTAATAAAAAAAGAAAGAGAGAGAGAATGGTATTATGGTCTTCACATGTTTTAATGTCTTGGGTTTTGTGTTTTGGGGGCTCAGAGAACAAAATTTTTATTTTTAGGGGTAAAACACCTATTGACCAAGTCTTGGGGGTGGGAAACACGTTCACTTGGCTTTTGGGGGCTGGAAGCATTTTTCCCTTAAATTTTTTTTACCACCTAATAATTAACTTTTGTGGTGTACGTATGAAAAATCAAAGCATTGTGATGTAAACATAATCAAGTAAATATTTTTGATTGAATTAGGAAAAGATACGCAATTAAATTTTATTGGGTTTTGGTCTTAAGTCAAACATTGAGGAAGAATTATTAATTTACTTTCTAATCTAATAATTTGTTTAGTTATATGAAAGTACATCCTTCTACAAATGGCGGGCATGATAGTATTCACTTTCCTAGGAAAAGAAATTCAATAAGACTATTATACCCTTTTATAGTTATGCTGAACCACTATAGGAGCCTAACATAATGAAAGTGCAAACTGTAGGAGCTAAATAGAATATAAGTACAAACTTTAGGAAGCTATCAGTACAAACGAGAGTTTGAGGGCTTTATAGAAAAGTTGGTCAAAGTTTAGGGGCTTGTTAAACTTTGAGCTCTTCTGTCATCTCTAATATATCTGGATGCAATGCCAATCATATATATTCAAATATTTTGGTTGATTTGTGTATTAATTTTGGGGGGAAAATTCCACTCGCTCAGAAGTTGAAGTGAGAAATAAGAGAGAGCAAGAAGAAAACCTAAAGTTTCTAATTAAATAACTAATCCAATATTAGTTAAATAATTTGGACAAATTAAGAGAAATCAAGTAACATAGAGACTAATTTCAAAATAATTATTGGAAGATTCGACCATTTGAGGACTAATCTCAAAATACGAAGACATAAGGAACTAATTTCAAAATAGGAAAGAAGCGAGGGGCTAATATAAAAAGAAGCAGAAGCAAAACACAGGTCCTCATGAGTCGTTCGCTCGCTCGCTCACGCTGCCGTTGCTCTCCTCTCACTTTTGATCCCTCGGTGACCTCACCCTCTTCCATCTCTCTCCACTGAGCATCAATCCAATTCTCAGTCCTAAACCCTAGCGCTCCTCAACAGAAGCCAAAAACCCTAGGAATCTAGCATGTTCAGCTCCTCAGCCGGTCCTCAGATCCCGCCACCGGCCGCCGCGCTGCAGAGTAGATCGCCGCCGACGAACCGGTTCTTGATTCTGATGCTCGATCACTGCATCTCCGGGGAATTTTGGGGATATGCGTTCTGCAACGGATAACGCACTGTGAGATTAATTTGATTGGCTTATGGTATTAGGTTGAATTTAATTTGATTAATGTTTCTAGTATTTTGATCTGTTATTTGTTGCATTATTACCAACATGTATATGAACTGATAGAAAATGCATTTTATCGTAGAAATTTTTTTTTATAGAATCAACCGCAATGACGACACAACAAAAAAGATTTTTTTTTTTAATTTTAATTTTTTAGATTCACAGGAGTCGAGTACTTGATACCTTTTTCTCCATTAGGGCTGTTTGCTTGCTGGAGAAAAAAAGCAAAGAAAAGTGTTATAGGAAATATAGGCTAAATTGTTCTTGAATACAACAAAGTTTTCCTGTTTTGGCACTTATATCTAGATATAAGTTGTTTTTTTGGCATATAGGTACTATAAGTTGTTTAAAATTGTCATGTTAGTATCCTTGATCATGCAAATGTAAAAATTTTCACCTTAATGTTTATCTGTGGTGCTTATGTGCTAATTTTAGAGTTTTTTTAACTATTAATATTTATTAAATTTGCTATTAAATCTACCAAAAAATTTTATAACTTATCTTGATTCCACTTTTAAACAGAGTTTATGAATGTTTAATTATAAATTTTAATAAATATTAATGATTTATAAAGTTAACATGTTAATGTCATATGAGAACGTTCAAGAAAAATTTTCACGTTTGCATGATCGAAGGTACTAGCGTGCCAAGTTTACATGATTTATGATATTAATTTGCCAAAAAAAAACAACAACTCATGATATATAAGTGTCAGAACTATGAAACTTTGTTGTATTTAAGTGCTATTTAGCTAGAAATATATTTCCTATAATAAGGATGGGGTTTTGTTATAAAACCACCGACCATCAAACCCCCCCCCCCCTCCCCACCCCAACCAAAAAATAAATAAACAATTTGCAACCCGACCTTATATTACCACTACAAAGATTAATAGTCCATTACATGAACCCTATTTTAAATTAGTAGGCCATTAACTTCTCAAACAATCAAGTCAGATGGGCTTAAACACTAAAGTCCAAACACTAAAAACTCAAATAAATAGGCAAAATATGATGGAATGAAGTTGTTAGAGTATATCAAGTGCATTCTCATCAAGTACAATGTTTAATAATATTATGTTTTTATTTTTAGGTAAATATATGTTTATCGTTCGCTTCCATATGAAATTTTTTCTAGATACGCTACTGGCAATTACGTTTGAAAACAAAAAAGAAAAAAAAAACTACACTCCTCAAACATACCAAGCCAAAAAGCAAACCAGAAGTTCAAAGTATCTAAGCATACGGGGGCAGATTTAGATATAGGAATTAGGATGCAGTTGCATCTCTATAAAATTACAAATTGCATTTATCTCCTTATAATATTTACAAATTTTGCACCCCAGCCTATCTCGAAACACTAAATAAGTTAGTAGCAAATGGAATTAGCTCATTTAAAGTGTACCAATTACATATCAGGTACTATAGATTTATAATATAATATTTTATTTTTTAAGGTAAATAGATACTTGTTGTCTGCTCCCTAAGAAAAAATTTCTATGTAAGCATATGCATGTATAAAACTTATACAATATTAACTCATGTTTCTCAAGCATTGATAATATCTCCTCCAGCAGCCCCCTGCCTATAAATCTGTATGACTCCAGTGCTCACACTTGCAAGTGAATCCTCTCCTACTGCAGCCTAATGAATGTAGTACCTCTCCTTCCCTCCCTCTCTCTCTCTCTCTCTCTCTCTCTCTCTCTCTTCTCTCTCTCTCTCTTGTGAACACAACTATGCAGAGAGATTATCTAACCAAGAATCAGTAAAAGAGTTAACTAGATCTAAAATTTCCAATGCGTGCAGCGCGTCTTTTCTTTTCTTTTCTTTTCTTTTTATCTTTTTTTTGGTTAATATGCGCATATTTCTTTCATACCTCAAACACCACACTATGTTGAAGTTTTTAATATATGAGTATAGTCCTACATTGTATGGAATAAGAAAAAGTGATGGTTTGGAGCCAATACCTTGTAGCTATAGCTTTTAGGTTAAAAATTGGTTCCTAGCATCTATTTAAAACCCACTAACTCTAGATTAGGCCCGATGTCTCCCTAAAAAATGGTAGTAGAATCATGTTCAGCATGAGGTGGACGATGTCGACTTCTATTCTCATAATGGATGGGAAAAATTATCATTGGTAGAAAGAGCAGATGAAGGTGATGTTTGAATATTAAGATATTCTTGATGTCATGGAGAAAGGAGTTGGCGATTTTGCGGAGATCATGACTTAAGCTGAGAAGAAAACCCACAACTGAAGTGGCAGCCACAAGTGAAGTGGTGGAAGATCCGACGGATGTTTGATAGCCATGTACCGAATGCATGGTTGATAGTTTAGACTAGGTTGGTGAATCCCATGGAAGATTTAAGTATAGTGGAGGACTGAACTGTACTCACAAATTAAGGGGTTGAGATTAGTAATAGTAAGTACAGTCCCACATCGGATACTGTAAAAAGTGATGAGTAAAATAGGAATTGAGGCCAATACCTAGTAGTTATAGCTTTTAACTTAAAAATTGGTTCTTAGCCTCTATTTCGAGCTCATTAACTCTAGGTTGGACCCGATATCTCCCCAATACACTATACTACATAGTACATCCCATTTTGGTTTATCCTCTAAATATTATGCTAAGAGCAAATGTCTGAGGAACACAATGAAACAAGATTTTGAATCTTAAATTTAAACTTAATATAACTCCAAATAGAAGAAACAAAACCACACTTTAGAAATAAGTGAAGTTTTATTATAGAAACATGTTCTTTTTCTTTTGAGAACATCATTAAGTGACTTTGCGATAAGATTGATAGAGCAAGGAAAAAGTTTTTCTAGACTGGAGAAGAGGTTAATCATGGATCTGTAAATTTAATTTGTTGTATAGGATTTGATCTGTAAGCCTAAACAATTTGGTAGCTTATGTGTGTTAGATCAAAGGAACAAAGCTCTGTTAGGGAAACAGTTTGATGGTTTTGTTACAAATATTCTTTGTGGAAACAAACCATTTTATACAACTACTCTGGGAATGTGGAAACAAACCATCTTATACAACTATTCTAAAAATGGTAATGTTTTAATGTTAAGATTAGGAAAGTTTCTAATTTTTGGGGAATATTTTAAAAGATGATTGTTTATTGTTAAGTATTAAAATGGAAGTGGGTATTGATTTTTTTAAAAAAAACTTTTTTGGTTGGATAAATGGTGTAGATTTAGATCCCGGACCTCTACGTTTCCTTAGCTTTTCAACTTATTAGCTGAAAATCCAGATGCTTGTGTTTGGATTATTAGGGAGATGGGAGAATAATTGATGGATATAAATGATTTCCTTTGTGAGCCAATTACTTGGACCTTGTTTTTCAATATCTTGGGCTTTTGAAAATTATTAATTTATTGATTGTCACGAGGGGGATGATATTAGAACTTGGAATTGGAACAGTAAAGGGTGTTTTACTATTAAACCCTTCTGTTATTTTCCTATAGATGGCGGGTTGAGTTATGAAGATGTTAGTTTCTGGAGGATACTTGTGTCTTTAAAATTTAAATTGTCTGTGTTGTTTGCTATTAAGAGTAGATTCAATACAAAGGGTAGACTGATTAAAAAATAAATTCAAGCTGATGATAAATGTGTTCTGTGTGGTGTAGACGAGGACAGTCATAACCATTTAACTTTGAAGTGTAGCTTTTTGTCTTCTACGTGGAATTATGTGAAGTTTAAATTTAAGATTCCAAATCTTGGTTCATTGCGTATCTCAGGCATTTGGTTTTGGAGTACTAGTTTTATATATTTAGAGGATAAACCAAAATGGGATGTAACACTATATAGTGTAGTGTACTGTTGGTGGTATGAAAGAATATATTATGCACATATTCAAACAAAAAATAGACATGCATTGGAAATTTTATATCAGGTTAACTCATTTGTTGATTTTTGGTTAGGTAATCACTTTGCAAGGTTTGATGAAACTTTGAGTTATGTTTGCAAAAGAAAGAAGAGAGGTACTGCTCAGAGTTTGGGGTACATTCATCAGGCTCCTAGAGGAGAAATTATCATACTTGAGAAGTATGAGTTAAAATAATTTAAGGTCGATACATGCATATGCTAATAACTTTTGACTTTTGGTTGTGCTAGTTTGGTATGTTTGGGAAGTGCACTTTTTTTTCCCAGATGTAATTGATGATATATTCTGATTTGTGTATTATGGGGTTGGGAGTGTACACTATATATTGTAAACCAATTATGTTCTTTAATGGAAGCACGGTTAGGGTTTTATTATAAAACCTCTTTCTTGTTCAGAGAATTGAAGGCGATGATTTGCCTTCTGAGTTGGCTGATGGCATGAAAAAAAATTTAGTTATCATTAGGTCATTCTATTATCTTTGACACCACGGAGGTACATACATTAATACTGGGCTTGGCTTTTGCATTTAGTTTCGAATACGCCTTACTAGAAAATTCAATGAGTACAGCGTTAGGTTGCACCCATGAGTAACAATGGCTCATGGGTTTTATTTCGGATATAACTTACTAAATAATGCAATAGATGCTAGTGTTGATTTTGAGCATTGGCTAATGCAGATAATTTTGAGCATAGTTACTGGAAAATGCAAGAGACTGTTACAGCATCTTATTGGCCAAAAGATGCAGTCATTTTTGCTTCAAAATTAATTAGGTGCCTGATTAGAGATCTACTCCTGAGCTGTCGAGCTTTTATCAGAAATTAAGGTGTGCTAGAACCCTCACATGTGAAAGGACTTTACCATCATTTTGGATAAGGGGATTATTCAGCGTCATATATTATCAAACGTATTAATGTATTTTGATTCATGACTTTGTAGCCAACAGAAGGAAATTCTGAAAATTTCTTAGGAAACTTTCTGGCTGCAGACAACGCAACAAAAGGATGGAATGTAGATAATTTTGATTCACGATTTGGTGATATACTAATAGCTGAGGAAAGGAAAGGGTAAAAACTGTATTAATGTATTTTAATATATTCACAAAGTGCAGATAACCAGTGGAAATTCCCTACGTTTCTTGGGGTTCTTTCTGAGTGCGGACGAGTCATAGCTAAGAGAAGGGTAGAGTTTAGATAATTTCGATTCACAAATTGCAGATAAACTAATAGCTGAGGGAAGTGAAGGGTAGAAACTATATTAATTAGGCTATTATGTAATATTCACACACTGCAGATAAAACTGACAGATCACATATCTATTTTCTCCTTGTTTTCTTCTTTACGAAAGAAAACAAGGAAAGTCAGTTTATTCGCCATTTTCCCCGCCCCTTTATTATTTCGTCTCTACAAAATGAGTGTACAAAAGATTTAGAGTATTGAGCTAGATGAGCGGCAATATTATGATTTATTGAGGTTTATCTCCTCCATTAAGTTAATCGTACGTTTCGGTGGACCATTATTGATAAACTTGTTTTTTGTGATTTAAGTTTTACCATCAGGACACGGTGCTTGTTTTTGTTGTTTTAACATCAGGACATGGTACTGTTTTATCCTCGAGGTGGTCTTGGATTGTCCCATTTTATTAAGCCTGGGTTAACCTTTTGAACGGCTCATCTTTTCTGCTGAAAAAGATTATTGGAAATCCGTGAAAATTTGAAAAAACCTTTTGAGCTGCGGTTACCACCTATCGAATATTTACATCGTCATCGATCAGAAGTCGGAACTGAGACGAGTCTCGAGCAATCATTTTTACATAGATGAGTGCGCTAATTTATTATCGTATTCGATTTTCCGAAGGAAGTATCGATGACATAAATAAACAAGCAGAACACATGCTAGATTCATGCAAAATACCAAATACACATTCAAATGTAGCAGACAACAATAACAACAACATACTGATACACTCAACCGAATTGCTAACAGATACAACTAAGAAAAGCCCTTAATCAAATGAGAGAAAAATAAAGCAAAACCCCCATCTGAACTCCTACTATCTACAGTTCAAATGCCACATCTAATCTCCCGCCCCTCACCCCTGGGAAAAACCTAAAGAGCCAACTTCTCCCTTTATTCCTTCGCAATAAGCATCCTTTTTTTTTTTTTTTTTTGAAAGATGAAAGAACTCAAGCAGTGCTTGGATTGCTTCTGAAGGATCCAAGAGCCTTCACAGCACCAGCCCTCAGCACAATTTGGTGGTATGCAGCTGCAATTGCTGCACCAATGAAGGGTCCAACCCAAAAGATCCACTGCAGAAGCACAAAACATAGACAAAAGGCTTTTAGTTTTGGACCAACATCACAGCTTTCATGTACTTGTTTGCTGGCCACATAATTCATCTCATAATTTTCATCTCATACCATACAAAGTGCATGATGCTTGTTATTCTAAGGTTTGGTGACATGAGACATGAATGGAGAGGCCTCATGTGATGTGTCAAGGGATGCTTGTGAAGTGATTTATGGACCATCCTCACATGGCAGGGGTTGTTGCATGACATGAAATGAAAGTATGGGAGCCTTTTTTACAAATGTGAAAAAATAACAGTTACTGCGAAACAAACAGTTAGGTAAGTTAATTTTTTTACAAATTACATTGACAGTTATTAGGTAAGCTATTCTGTGAACAAAGCTATTATACATATGCAAGGCAAGGAACAAGTAGCTAGGGGAAAGAAAAGGAATTGGCCGGTTACTACTTTTGGCTTACAATTAATGGTTAGTTGCACATAGACCCCTGTAGTATTGCTGTTTTGAATTTACCATCTCCTGTAGTTTCATTGTTGCAGATGGAACCCCTGGGTTAATTTTTCGACTCTCTTACTCTTGGTGAAATTTTGACAGATATTGCCTCCGGATGAAATTAGCGACTCTACATCTCTTTGTGATACTAGATCGAAAAAATAATAATAATAATAAATAAATAACCAGAACGATCTCCCCATACGCAAACCTCAACTGTCAAGTTAGCTAGTAGTATATATTGGGTCACTGTGATGATGGAGATTGTGAATGTATATAAAGATACCTGATCATCCCAAGCTTTGTCAGTGTTGTAGATGACTGCAGCTCCAAAACTCCTAGCAGGGTTGATGCCGGTCCCGGTGATAGGAATGGTGGCCAAATGGACCATGAACACCGCAAACCCTATTGGAAGAGGGGCCAACACCTAGAGGAGAAAAGAAGACAAAATTACACACACAAGTGAAAAATATAAATTTCATGGTAAAATGTAACAATCAGTGACAAAGGTATTAATGATGTGCTTTGAGTAGTCGACTAGTGATGCTACAGAACTAAGAAAGAGAGAGAAAAAGGGCCCAATCTGTATAATGCTTCAAATTTCGTTGAAGGCACGAAAAAGGGCTATGCCATCATCTATGCATGACTCGCTTTCCTAAATATTAATCAACTCGTGATAAAGTACAAGATTAGTGACAACAACAAGACAAATGCTTTGGATAATCTAAGTAAAAGAAGAGAGATTGTTGGCGATGAGGACCAGCGAACTAGGCATTATTTTCTTGTGAAGCTATATAAAACAAGAAACGGTATATAGAAACATCACATGCGAGGGTAAGGTTTTATTTATTTATTTATTTATTTTCACCTTTTTTTTTTGGTGAAAGAAAATGTAAATATGTCAGCGAGTTTACTCCCCCCCCCCACCCCCCTCGCCTCTTAATAACAACAGCATTAGAGCTTTTTCTTCGAACAAAATGATTTTACTAGCAAAACAGCATGCGGTAAAAATCATCAACTACACAGAGTCGTTGGAGAAATGTTGATCTAGTAATAATTACTACAGTTCTCCACATGATGGAATTTGTCCTCATTAGTCTAAAGCTCAATATTTTATTTTAGAACACTTTTTTGCAAAAACCCAAAAACACGGAGTAGAACATATTTATTATGAAAAATGTCTTAGGGATCCAAAATCATAGGACCTTACATGGGACAGGTGAATTGTCGGCTCGTGTCTCATGATGCACGGAGCCGACACCTCACCTGTCCAATGTAGGGTCCCATGCTTTTGGGTAGTTGTAGCACCACCCATTTATTATTACTCAATAGAAGGAACATCCTAGCAAATATTTTGAAATTTTCAGGTAGTGGGCTTCTTGGAGCTATTAAATGTTAGCGAGGTATACTATCTTTGGACGTATTATATGTCTAAAGTTCATATAGACTTGCTCAAATTTTTGTGATGGCGATGAAGCTCATCTTTGTTTAATTTTATTAGCATGTTGAATTATTAATCCCCTATAGTCTCCATGATGACTTGTTTCTTCCGCTGGTTTTTTAATCTCACATGAAAGTTTCCATGTAATGTCCTTTAAAATGTCTAATCTTAACATTAAAAACTAATAATTGCAAAAATATTGGTACCACACCTCCCTTATCTACTCCTATGTACAAATGGGAGAACCCAAGATTCCCTTTTTATGCTACAGTAAATGTTACTGTTGCACACGGGAATTGTTGTTTTTTGAAAAAATACTACTGTTGCACATGGGATTATTGTAACATAAATGAGATACTGTAGTAATTCAAAAAAAATATTGTGACAGTTAAACCCGTGATTATTGTAGCGGGAAAAAAAATATGTCATGCTTTGCTTTGTACGGTATTCACGCTAGTATTGAATTAATTGCCTATACACCTCTTGTACTAGGATCACAATCACACGTATAACCCCTCAAAACTATTTTATTAGCACTAATTAATGGGCCTCTAATTTGAGAGTTTAAAAAAACGGGACGTTAATATTTACCGGGACATGGGAGTCACGTGCGCTCCGCTTGGGGTCAGTAGCCGAGAACACGGTGTAGACGAGCACGAAAGTTCCGATGATCTCGGCGGCGAGGCCGGTCGCGAGGCTCGTTGGCGCCGCCGCCGTACCGAACGAAATACGCCTTCTGGAATGCCTTCACGAGCCCCACGCCGCAGATGCGGCCGAGGCACTGCGCTATCAATGTAGCAGGAGCCACGGACGAGGGAGACCTTGCGGGCCAGGAAGAGGCCGAAGGTCACGGCGGGTTGATGTGCACTCGGTGCGTAGAGCCCTCCTGCAGCGTAGGGTAGATGGGGTTAGAGGGCTTTGCTAACGTGCGCATGCAAAGCAAAAAACTACTGCGGCGACCACAGTACATGCCTCTGCGGTTTCGAAGTTGGGGACAATAAAGTTATCTGAAAGTTATCTGTTTTTTAATTTGGAAAAAGGGATAAATCTGTACAAAATTCCACTTAATATTAACAGAAAAAAAACGAGATATTCAAATTACGTATCTTATATGTAATTTCAATGAACTATCAAAAAAACTGTTAAGGGCTTCTAGTTATTATAAAATAATAAACCTGCCATGATCTTTTTATAACAAATAAGGGCTAAATGTCATAAACCCCTAAAAAATTTGTAAGATTATCAGATAACCCCAATAAATTTCAAAATATCAGAAAAGGCCCACATTAAATTTTACTAGTTACTAGAATACCCGGTAAGATTTTTACTGAAAGCTCCTCTCGAGTGCTGACCACAATTTTCATATAATCCCGCTGCGTAATTTTCCTTTTCTCCTTGAACATTTTATAAGCTATTATCTATTTAACACGAGAACTATAAGTAAAATAAAATAAAAACAGGAAAATTTTAACGTTAAAATTACTCACCGGAGATGCCGGCGGTGCAGTAGACAAGAATAAAGATCATCCCCCCAAAAGCCCAAGCGATACCAAGAATCCCGACGCCGCTACAATCCGCATCAGCGCTAAGCTTCGGGTCGGACTGGTGTTTGTACCCGATAACGGTAGCAACCGTTATGTACAGAAACAGCAACGTCGCTATGAACTCAGCGATCACCGCCCGGTAAAATGACCACTTGGTCAGCTCCACTGCGTCTATAAGTGGAGCTGGCGGTGGGTCGGTGTAGTCCTTGGCGGTAAACTGACCGGCGGCGCCCTCAACGTCTTTGGCCATTGTTTTAGAGTTTCTTTTCTTTTCTTTTCGGCTTGGAAATGAGAGGTGAGGGCAGCGAGGGGCTTGTGGGTATTTAAAGGGATAGAGCTGGCGGGCCCCGGCGTAGGGGAGGGTGGGAGGGATGACGTGTTAAATTTATTTTATTTTATTTTTTGTATATGGGAATTTTAATTTGCCGCCCTAAACCGACTATCTACCAATCTTGATTGTGTTTGCATTGGCCCACTCTTCAGAATAAAATCATACAGAGATGGCTATATAAAAGAAAAAGCGTATTAAATATATCGTTTTTCTCCTAATTTTTGAAGTCCACCGTTGCATTAAATTTTAAAAAAATAACACTTCAATAAGTAGTTATTATTAACATTATTTAAATTATTTATTTTGATTTTATACTGATTTAAAATTGATAGTAGATGTAATTATTTGTATTCACTAAAAAAAATTGCTTCTAAGTGTATCAAATTTTGATAGATTATTGTGCTTGGGTTTACTATCAAACTAATTTATTTTTTAAAAGTAATATTTAGCAGTTTATTTTGTCTGAATTAAGTGACGCTGGTGATAATGATGGTGATGGTGATATAGGGTTGAGATGGCGGTGTTAACTGTTGTAAAAACAGAGGATGATAATCGTGGTGATTAGATTTCAGAAAAAAAAAAAAATATCATGTTTAATTGCTATAGTAGTACGATCATATCAGATAATGTAACTTGCGGTGTATTTAGATGAGTTTCTAGTCTTGACTCGAACTTTGGACTTTCTGTGTTCCTTTTCCTCGCCAGCTGTCTGTGCATCAATAGCTGTCTGATTTTCTATCAGTTGATCTTTGCTATCTTTTATTTACATTTTTTTTTTCTTTTGTGAACTTGAAGTACAAATCCAGAGAAAAATACAGTAGTACACTGTACACGCGAGGAGCTTTAAACATTTTCCATTGTTATTGGATATATCCTGCATTATGTGAGCAGTGAGTTCCGTGAGTTCAGATTTCTATTAGAATATAAAACAAGAATACTGGAGCATCATCGTAACTTTAAAGTTTTAGTGTAATGATTAGAGGACCTAGTTTAAGATTGTATCAGGTAACCCAAGTTCAAATCCGTCGGTCACAAATTTAAATCAGATTTTCTAAATATTGACATCGTCACCTAAGTCCATGTTCCTGCCCATAAAAAAGGGATAAGACAATAATCATCAAGCCATATCAAAACTTTAGGGTTTTGTTATAATGGTTAGAGGGACTTTCATAGGGCATCAGAGCCAACATCGGTTAGTATATTGTTAGCCACAAATTAAACATAGATTTTTTTTAAAAATTATGGCCGACATGTGAGTTCAGGTTTTAGACCATAAAAAAAGGGCATTCAACCTATAGGAATATGTCAGAATATAAAATAGTAATCCTCAAGCATTATCAAAGCTTTAGATTTTTGATATAAGTGTTAAGAGGGACTTTCGCATTCTTTACATGCAAGCTTATGATGTTCATATTACTTATGTAAGTATAATTCAAATATCTACGACAGCAAATACCTATAGTACATACTAACTTATACATATAAGATTCACAATATAATTATATACATAGTAAACTCATGCATGATAGCGGCTTGGGAAATTTTGCAGGCTTCATGTTTATCAAAATGGAGTACACAACCCATAAAGTCAATAGAAAATAAAACGATTATTAAACAGCAACATAATAATAATAATAATAATAATAATAATAATAATAATAATAATAATAATAATAATATAATAATAATAATAATCTCCTACTTAGATAATTATGATGGTCCTGTTTATGATTAATAATATAAGAGTTTATCAAGCTTCTCCGACATCATTTAGTTAAAAGTCGTTAAGGATAATTGTGATTTATTTGTAATCAATAATTAATGGTGCCGCCCCACAGTTGAACGGATCTCCTAAAGGCTAAGCCGTCATATATGCATGTATCACCCCACCCACAAAAAATAAAATTTAAATACCTCCCAATGCATCATATAGTGATATAAGCAAATTCTAGCTTCTGAGCAATACAAGGTACATTTTAGTGAATTTGCTTTAAGAAGTCCACTTAGTGGATCATAATTATTCATCAGTTAATTAGTGGCCCGTAACAATCTCTCTCGAGTAAAATATAAGAACAAATGGAATTTATAATAGTTGCATGATGATAGTTATATATTTGTATTAGGACATAAAATTATAACATTCAACTCTCATCAAAGATCAAACTAATCCAAGTTTATTTTTTACCGATCATGAATTAAAATAGATTTTAAAAAATAAAAATTGCTGCACGAGTCTAGATGCCTATAGAAAGTAGCTTATAAAATTATAAGTCTCCCGGTTAGGTGGGGACCTCTTATACTCATAGTAATTTGTGGAGAATAATAAGCAACGAGCTATACAGTCTCTTCACATGATTCGCCAACAAATCCCATTTTGTTTGTTTTGTTTTTAATACTACTTTAATTATGATTTAGGTTTTTAACGGAATACGTGTCAATCTCTAACGAAAAGCTGGACGAGACTCTTGCTGTACAAAATTCAACCGCAGGGTTAAAGAGCAACAAAGATCATGCTATCTTATTAGATTTGGGATTAATGTATAGGACTCCCGTAACTTTGTTTTCTGAAGAAGTAATTAATTATCTCTACCAATGTTTATGACTAGTACTCTAAACTCGGTAGTTGTACGTACGGTTTTTATACGGATGACCTAAACAACTGGCATGTCTGTTTGCGTAGATAAATTTATACATAAACTCCAACTATACAACTAAATAGATCATGTTGATAGATGTTTTAATGAATTGAAGATGTAATATTTTCTCTTTCCTCTTGAAGGAGAGAGGACAACCTGCCGATTGCGATAAGGAAAATGCTAGAGGCACACCCCCTAACCACATCTCCAACCACACTCCTCTCTCGCTACAGTGCACTAGGGCCCACATGAGAATTTTTTTTAAATTCTCACGTGGGCCCCAGTGCACTGTAGCGAGAGAGGGGTGTGGTTGAGGGTGTGACTGTAGCGCCTCCATTGCGATAAATATATATGAAACGTAAATAATAAATAAAAAAACAAATTGGCTTTTGTTGTCCTTTTTCCCCACATTTAATAGTGATGTACATTTAGATTAGGCCATATCCGGCTGCATTCAATATCTTGCGGCATTTGGTACGTAACTTCCACCATTTATAAGGCTTTCTACACCTAAATATTAATGATTGGATAATTAAGAACAAGGCCTAATGCAGAATTTTATTTTTCAATTAAATTAGCTAGTTGTTTAGTGGATTGTCATAATTTATATACAGGATGCGTGTGGATACATTCAACTATTTGTACCCTCTTGAACTATTTCATTAGGTAGACGTACGCATGTCATATAAAATGTCATTGACATGGATAACAAGCTTACTATTTTAAGCTAAACTTAAGACAGAAAACTAGTTATTAATGTCACATGATTTTCACGTGACATCATCCGAGTTTCAAAGATGTAAGTGATAATAGTCAAACAGTTTAAGAAATGTAAGTGGAACTAGAATAAAGATGCAATTTAGAAAATACTTTCTTTACTTCCAAATAAAAAAGCTAATTAAGGATGATTCAATTCTCGTTTTGATGGTAAAATCCAAACGTTAGAAAGAAATATTAGAAAAAGGAAACCAAACAATATTGATCGTAGATATTCTCCGGAATAAAACATATATAGAGCAAATATGCTTCCACGAGGATTATTAGTAACTTCATTAGGATCATTCATTCCACCGGACGCACCTCTTAATGGCAAGGCGGGATTGCGGGTTCACACGTGTTGCTCCTTTCTTTCACGTGCCAACGTTTTCGCACGGCGAAGTCCGACACGGATGTCCCGAAAACCAGAGCGAGTAGCACACGTGCCGTGTAGTTATTGCGCGGCCCGGGACGGAGACGAGAGGAGATCTCACCGACACCTACGTGGATCGACGAGAGCCTCACGTTCGAAAACGTGCGAGTACTCTACACGCGTTGAGGATTAACGGTCGGATCCCGCCTCGCGGTTTGGTCGTGCTGCGGGAACGGAGTCGTCTAGACGTTTTGAGCCCACGTGACTTTTACTGGGGGGGGCGATGTGGGCCCCAACGGTGATGTGACATGTCGTCGCCAGCCGAGCTATTTTTTTTGGAATCTTCGTTATTTCTGAAATTAGTGATTAAAAAAAAAGCTAAGAGTTCGCCGTAATTAGGACGTCGTCGCCTTTGTTGGGTAGAGACACTCCGTAACTAATTACTCTCTTATAATTTCCAATTAACAACATAAATGCTGGTTGGTTAAAAAAAAGTTAATCAAGAATAGGGGTTCCGTTTTAAATATTACATCTTATGATTAAGATTACATTCGTTTATTTGTCCAATGTTGTTTCTTCCTTATCAATAGCAATTGTTTGTTAAGTTATGATGGAAAATTATGTAGATGGTAATTATCCCAAAACGAGCGTGAGCATGATTTTCAAATATGTTATATCTATATGTAGATAAATCATAGCAATTTAAATTTTCGTTTACCTTGTTTAATCCAATAATTAATCAGCAAAAAATAAACAATTAGCTAAAAGAGTAACAACTTTAGTGTTAACTACTAGCTTCTCTTTCCAGAGTGTCTCCACCTAATGCTTTTTCTATCACAAGCACGGATATTGTCATGCTCAACCAAATCTTGGTCACAAAAGTTGGGCAATAATTCCCCCTATCGGAAGAGATAAGATTCCCGTTTGAATAATATGGCATCGCTTCTCTCTCTCTCCAACTCAAACTCAATGTCATCATTGATATGAATGGCTAAAATTATATTTCTTCAATCTCAATAGTTTACTAAGAGCATCTCCAATCAAAAAATTCAAAATGGTGTAGTTTTTACATCAAGTTGGTGTAGTTTTTACACCAAATTACTATTCCATCTCCAACTCATTACACCAAAAAAAATATTCCTTTTATTATTCTTATCTTTTAACATTTTTATCTATTTA